TTTTTCCAATGGCTTTTAAGATTTTTGTATTGTTTGAATTTTGGAATTTTGACCATGATGTGTTGTGGAGCTCTTTTCTGATGGTGCTATTTGGGATCTGAATGCTTTACTTATCTCTATGTTAAATTCTTTTCCCAAATTTGGAAAGTTTTCTGATATTGTTTTTGTAAATAGTTTTTTATGCTGTTTGTGCTGTCTTCTGATTTGTCATTAATTGAATTAATCTTAGTTATTTTTGTGTCATTTAGTAGCTGTCAAATCCATTTTCTATGTGCTGTTGTTTCTAAAATATCTCTGAGTGTATGGTCACCTGCCTCAGCCCTATCTATAATTCTCATACTGCCTCACATCAGCCACTTCTGCTGCCCATATTTCATAGAATTTTTTTTAATCTCTTGAATTTTTTTTTTTTTTTTTTTTTTTGGTCTTTTTGAGACAGGGTCTCACTGTGCAGTTCAGGCTGGCCTTGGGCTCACTTTGTAGCCCAGGCTGGTCTCCAACCTGCCATAATCCGCCTGCCTCAGCCTCTCAAATGCTGGGATTACAGGAATACACCACCACACCTGGCTTTCTTGGATTTTTTTTTCCTGATACATTTTCTGTCTTGTTCATCATTTAGGCTGTGGATAATTGAACCTGAGCATATAAAGAGTATTGCTTTGAAGAAGGCGTGGGTGCAAATGTGTAGGAAGGCTAGGTATGGTTGGTTAATTCCGATTGTTACTATTATGGACTCCTTAATTCTTCACTAAATTCGTCATTCCTGTTTTGTATCATTTTGCTTACCTCAGCCAGCTTTTTATTAGTATCTTCTATAAACTCATGATCATTTTGTTATATCATGTTTGATCTTGCAGAACCCCTTATGACCTGCCTTACATCTCCTGATTGATTATTCTGTGTAACTCAGCTGCTAGGCTTATGATTTTCTTACCATTGATACCTCTTGAGTCAGCTTTGGATGAGTTGGGAATTTTGGGAGGCATATGTTGGCTTGTGTTCTCATTTTTCTTTTCTTTTAATGTGTGTGTATGCTGAGGTTTCAGAAGATTATGGGGGAAATGACTTCGTTACTAGTATGTCTTTAGCTAGTGTCTGCTGTGCATTGATGCGCGTGGGTGTGGCTGTCTCTTTGCCTCTGTTCCAAGACCTGACCCTCCCTATTAATTTGGGGAGGATGCAGTGCAGTGTAATTGTCCCAACACCTGGTTCTCCAGAAATGAAACACAGTATAGTTGATGACAGAGGCAAACCAGATATTGGCATATAGTAAACATCAATTAATAGCAACAACCATGCCAGCCTTGCAGTTGCAACAAAATCAGCACAATAATAGAGACAAATTGGATGTTGACATACCATAAAAACCAATAAGTTACCAGTGTACCACACATTTAACAGTAGAAATCTGTAATTATAGACCTAAAGATAAACCAAATATTGACATACAGTAAATACCTTCTAAATGGAACTGTTATACCACCATTAACAATAGAAACATTCAACAATAACAGCATAATATCAACTAAATATTTAAAGATTTATGAAGTTTAATTTTAATACTGGTAAACCTGGAACAGATGGGGAAGGGGAAAATGAAAAGAGTAAAATTTGAAAAGTAAAGATGAGAAGAAGAGAGAAAAGTGAGGTAAAAGATCTTATTAAGAAACCAGGTGTGGCAGTACACCCCTGTAATTCAGCGCTTGAAAGGCTGAGGCAGAAGGATCACATGAGTTTGAGGGCAGCCTGGGTGATATAAATGAGCTCAATGCCAGCCTGCCCCATGTAGTGAGACCCTTGTCTCAAAAAAAAAAAAAAAACTTATAAGGAATAAAAAAGAAACTTAACAGAATTAGGTAAAATTACAAAAGAACAAATAGAAAAAAAGAAAGAAAATAAACACAACCCCCATACCTCAAAAAATCAAGAAGGAAAAAATAAGTATATTCAAAGAGAATTCCTTTGCATTTTTGAATTAGTGGTTTTTTCCAGGGTTTGCAGTAGTGAAAATCCACCAGCAGTGGGGAAGGTAGTTCAGATAGAACACTGTGCCTGAGGAGACCATTCTCCTCCACCCACTTGAATTTGAGCAGCACCCTAGGGCCATTCCTCCTTAATGTCTCACCCTGCCCATTTGAGCTTGGGTGCCACCCTAGGACCATTCCTGTGTGACTCCAGACCAAAGTACACATGACCTTCTTTGGGCCCTTTCTGCTGTCTGTCCTGGCTCAAATCTTCTGTTTGGGACTTTTCAGTTAAGTGTTCTTTTAACACTGGGTATACGCTGTGCAATTCTTTGTTTGCTATGCACAAGAATTTGGAAGGTACCTGTGGGATCCGCCATACAGTTACTGTGAGATCGTGAGTCACTACCAAGGCCTCTTTCATTTCAACATTCGTAGTTTTTTGTGTGTGAATGCTGCTTTCTGCTGTGTGTGATTGGTCAGTGGTATCTTCCCTAGGGCTATACTCACTCCAGCCACTGCCGGTTTCCAGGTTCCACCGTGCACCCCACGTCCCAGCTTTCCCCATCTAGCTTTCCAGCCTGTGGGTTTGTAAGGCACCCTCCACCCCTTCTTAGAGACCTCGCTGTTCATGCCTGCCATCCAGCTGGGGTGTATCTAGGCCCACGTGGCAAATGGGGAAAACAAATAGACCTCTGCGTCTGCGATGGAAGTAGGTGGTGGGGTAGCGGCATCAAGGAGCTTGTTGGATTTAATGTCAGCATTTGAGACCCAGTGCCCTCTGAAAACCACACATGACTGGCCTGGCTCTCTATTCAAGGGCAGAGCCCTTACGTATTTCCAGCTTGAGTTTAAACTTCTCAGAGGGACCTATGTCTAGCCCAGTCCTCTCTTCAGCTGTCTCTTGCACAGACCCCACCCAGTCACTGGTTTTTCTGTAGCTCAGTCCTAATATGAGTTCCTTCCCCAGATGGTTCCTGAGTAAACACACTCAGATCTGGTGAGTGGTGTACTGATTTTTTTTCTTCAATTCTAGCCTGCCAGGCAAAGGTGTCACTTTCAGGTAAAACCCTACTGTTTTTTTAGTTTCCGATAGCTGTGGACTCTCTTGGGGCCAGTGCTGCCAGTGTTGTTTCTTCCTGGAGCTTCGGACCCTCTGTAGAGTTTATTTCTCTAGCGTTAGTTTTGACAGGCTCCTTTCTGGGAGCTTTTTTTCCTCTCTCTCTTTCCGAGTGCTTTTTTTCTTTTTCTTCTTTCTTCTTCCTACTCCTCCTCCTTTTTTCCTTTCTCTTTATTGTGCTCCATTTGTCCTACTTTTCTGTAGTTTCTAGTTTTCCTGTCAGCTCCCTCCCAATTCCTGGAGATCTCTTTTTTTCTTCACCAAGTTATTGTTTTCAAGGTCCTAGAGAGGTTGTATGATTTTTCGTCCTCCCCTGATAGGATTTTAAATTAAGTATAAGCACATCTATATTTTGTTAGAGACAGGGATAGTACATTAATTCAGTCATTAAATGTAATGAGAGCCTGTCATGTTCCAGGCTCTGTACTGTGTTCAGGTGTAGCTCTGAACAAAATGAATAAAGGTCCCTTTGTCATGGAATTTATCTTCCAGTGGTAGACACAGGCAAGAGACAGTTAACGAAAAGTCCGTATAACTTCAAATGATTGGTACTATGAAGAAAAATGGTGTGATTTAATGGCTGAAGAGAGTTGAAAGTATCACTTTGTTTTGGGTAGTTAGGAAGAGCCTCTGAGAAGTTGGTATTTGAGCTGAGATCTCAATAATGATAAAGAATGGGGCACATAGATGTTTGGGAAAAGAGGTCAGGCACAGTGTCTGCCTCTTTAGAGGCCTCGGTTTGGAAATGAGCTTGACAGGCTTGAGGAACTGAAGGCAGCAGGTGCAGCTTCCATGTGGTAAACTGAAGTTTGCATCAGGTCAGCTCTTAGAGTCCGTACACCATGGAAAGGAAGTGAATTTTGTTTTATCTGCAGTTGGAAACTATGTGAGCATCTGTGGTATTTGTGTTTTTATCAGCTCACTCTGACTATAGTGAAGTAAATGGGAGCGCGGAAGCAAGATGATCGGTTAAGAAACTGTCCAAGCAAATGATGAAGCTGGTTTAGCCTGCGATGGTCATGGTGGAAGGAAGACTTGTGAATGAATCAGGGTGTCCCATGAGGGTGGTTGAATTTGCTCCTATTTGGTTTCAGGAGAGAATGAATAGATAGCAAAAAACAAGACAACAAACTTGCTTGTTATCACAGGAAAACTCAGGCATTTAAAAGAGGAAGGAGAACTTTTACTTGTGAAAAGTGCAGGCAGAGTAAAGATGACTTTGGTGGGAGCCGAGAAAACCTGCAAGCGTTTTAAAGAAACAAAATCCTGCAATAGTACCAAAGTGACCAAGTTCTAATTGATCTGTTTGTGGTAGAAAAAAATGCTTTCCTCATATGTTTATCATATCCAAAAGGTTTTGTTGTATTCTCATACTTTATTTTTAAATAGCATGTGAAAAATCAGGGATTTTGCCTAACAAGTCTTTTTGTATTCTTTGGGCTAAGAAATCTTTTTTGTTTTTTTGCCTTTGCGGACCCAGGACCTCACTCATGCTTGGCAAGCTCTGTTCCCCTGAGTTTATGAAGTCCAGTGTTAAGGATAAATTTCAAAGTTTTATTCTTTGGATAGAATGACCTGTGCTTTATCTCAGGGTGCAAAGTAATTCCCTTCTCATGACTATGGCATGAGAACTGCTTAGTCATATTGGAAACTCTGCAAGAGCTGGGCGTCAGAATGTCATCATAGTGCAGAAACCAGCATGGGACAACGTGGGACCAGGTGGGCCTGGGATGCTAGCTACTGTCCTTGTGATCTGTGACGTTTAGATAGAACTGGCCACCTTCCTATTGTCCCATTCCCAGGTGAAGTAAGCAGATTAATATTTCTTGGTCCAGAGCTGGTATGACTAGTCAGCTGCAGATTTCCTTGTGGAATGGCCTCTCTCCTATTAATGATATCATTCTTCTGCGTTCTAGGAACTGGTGGACCAGCTCTATTCATTTCGAGACTGCTATTTCGAGACACACAGTGTTGAGGATGCTGCACGGAAACAGCAGGATGTACGGGAGGAGATGGAGAAGACCGTCCAGCAGATGGAGGAAGTATTGGGTGTGAGCCCTGAAAGTGTGTAACCCCTGCTGTCTCTCTTTAGACCTTTTGGTATCGTGTTTATGGCTGCTGTAGACTGATATCTCTTTTAAGCCCTTGTATAGGATAGACCCTTTCATTCTTTTTTTTTTCAAGACAGAGTTTTGTTACACAGTTCAGGCTGGCCTTGAACTCATTTTGTAGCCCAGGCTGGCCTTGAACTCACAGTGGTCCTCCTGCCTCAGCCTCCTGAATGCTGGTATTACAGGTGTGCACTACCATGCCTGGAAAACCTTTTATTCTTTAACCTTTTCCTAAAATTTGATCATAGAAATATGAAATAAAAGGAGCGTTCTTGTTGTTTGACGTGTTGGGGTGATCTTCTTAACTGATCTTTCTGCCTTTTTACTTCCAGTTCAGTTTTCTGTGGTTATGGTTACCTTTCTAAGTCATTACTTCCTGCATTCAATCATACCTCTGGTCTACCTTTCTGTCCCTATTGTCTGTTTGACCTCATCTCTGACTACTTGTTTATTGAGGAACGTTTCGTTTCATTCAGATTGGACCACTCGGTTTCCCACGAATGTGCCACGTGAATTTCTGCTTCTGCGTTTATATCAGTTTCTAACTTGGAGATTTTAGTGGGGTTTTTTCCTTGACTTCTTACCCATTTATCATATGCGTGCTGTAATCTTTTCGTTATTGTTTTAATTTTCTGTGTATGCCTTGTCTTTACCAGGTTGTAAACCTCTCCAGGGCACAAACAATGCTTTCCTTATTACTCAATTATTTAACATGGTATTCTCAACATAATGGGAATGTATAAATAGTATGTTTGTAAAGATTTTATTCAATTCTTTTCCTTCCTAGAGCTGGAATGGGGCAGTTTCTAGAGAGAAGATGCCTTGTTCTTTCAGTGCTTGGGCTTTTCCATTTCCCTTTCCCTTTTTCCTGTTTTCCTAGGTTCTGCCCAGAGCAAGGCACAGACTCTAATGCTAACAGGGAAGGCACTGAACGTGACTCCTGAGTACAGCCCGAAGGCAGAGGCGCTTCTGTCAAAAGCTGTGAAGCTGGAGCCTGAGCTGGTGGAAGCTTGGAACCAGCTGGGTGAGGTCTACTGGAAGAAAGGGGATGTTGCAGCCGCCCACACCTGCTTCTCAGGAGCCCTCACCCATGTGAGCCGCCCTCCACCCCCTTGAAAAACAGGCAGGAAGGGTGAAATCCCTTTGGTTCTCTGAATTCACTAGGGCGAGAATACCAATCAGAACAGCTTGAATTAGGAGAACAGAATCAGAAGAGGAAGAGTGGTGAGGGATTAAGGATAGGGCACTGAAAAAGGAAAAATGGTGATGGGATTAGGTTCAGAGGTCAATCAGAAGTGGAAAAAAAAATGAGCAATCAAGCTGATCCTGGCATATGTGAATTGGAGCAGCAGGTGGCAGCAAAAACTAACACCAAAAATTCAATTTGGGAGAAGGTTGAGGTCAGAGTAGATCTGAAAAGGGGAAGTAGAAGCAAGAAGGTTGAGAATGTGCCTTTTCCATTTGCAGTGCAAGAACAAAGTCTCTCTACAAAACCTGTCAATGGTGCTTCGCCAGCTGCAGACCGACAATGGAGAAGAACATTCTCGCCATGTCATGGACAGTGTCCGACAAGCTAAGCTAGCTGTGCAGATGGATGTCCTTGACGGCCGCTCCTGGTGTGAGTGCTCGCAGGAGATTGCTAACACGTTTCTAAAGTAGTTTGTTCCTACTGTAGTCATCTAGCGCCCATCTACTGAGTTGACTGAAAGTGAAGCTAGGATATTTGTTTTAAAGACGCTCAAGAGGTATTTTGATGAGCCCCTGTCCTTGGAATTTTTGGATCTCTTGATCTGAGAGAGGAGATGCATGTTTCTATCAAAGCTGACCTTTTGTAAGGTTGTTTCAGTTTGACTTGAGTGGGTGGGTGGCCGTATTTATCTCTGTCCTAGTTCATTTTTGATATAATGTCATCCTTGGGACCTTCCCACAGAAGTGGGACCTTTCAGGTAGACTTTTTGAATGGTGACTAGAATAGGTCAGATCTTAGCCATGGGCTCTGAAATAATCCACCACTGTGTCTCTTTCAGATATCTTGGGGAATGCATACCTTTCTCTTTACTTCAATACTGGCCAGAACCCTAAGATCTCCCAGCAAGCCCTCAGTGCCTATGCCCGAGCAGTGAGTACTTACGGTCATGCAGGCCAGATGAAAAGAAGGCAGAAACAGAAGCAAGACCATCGTAGTCTTCCTTGTGGTTCTTTACCTTTGCTTTTGCTGACACAGTGTGTGTGTGATTTTGTAAAGTTATGTCTGTAGAGGTGGCTTTCTTCTTCTTATAACTTGAATATTAAGAATCACAGTTCTTACAGTGATATTTTGGTGCCAAATAACTCCTTGAACTGTGCAGGATTGTTATAGGCGTGTGTAACTAAGCCACAGGACCCATCTCAACACGTTCATCTTCTGCTTTGTTTTGTTTGAGACTAGAGTCTTGATATGTAGTCAATCTAGCTTGAATTTGTGTTTCTCCTGCCTCTGCCTCTGAAATGCTGGATTATAGGCATGCACCTCCTTGCCGGGCAATATCCATCTTTTGTAGTGGAGGAAAAAAGCCTGTTAAAATAATGCTTATTAATATTTGTATGCATTCATTTTAAAGTGAAATGAAAAGTCTGACACTTGAGCATAAGTAAGCACTACCCCAGTTATGTACAGCTCTTGATTGCCCACAGGTAAAAGGAGAAAACAGTGCAGAGTCTGTTCCACATCATTCCTGGAATTAATTCACCAGAGCTCACGTTTTGCTAAGTTTTCTGGCCATTTTTGTGTCATAGTCACTTGAGTGGGGTCTCCTTCAGGCTCTGAGTGCCCGATTACCTGTTATTAGGCATTTCACATTGGCCTTCTAAGTGCTTTTTATTTATCCCTCAACTTCATCTTTCTTTTGCTTTCATGCTTCTTTTGATAAAGAGAATTGTTTTTTGTTTGTTTGTTTGTTTTGAGAATTGGTTTTTAAATTAAACCTTTACTTATTTTTCTCCATGTGGTACAATAAAGAAAGCAGCTACTGTGTAGTCATGTTTGCAGTTCAAGGACTCTTTTTTTCTGATCAGAACTTTTAGACAGGGGAACTGTATTTTACTCTAATTAATTTTGTGAATATTTATATTTCAAAGAACTCACAGAATACACTTTCATATTTTTTACTGGGGTTCTCTTAGATAGTTGTTGTTAGCTCTTAATATATTCACCCAAATCTCCATTTTTAAATATATGTGAACCAATAATTTAAACAGTTTTGATTTGTATTGTCTGTGCTTTTGCAATGTGGTAATTTTAAGAGTGAACACAGCAATTTCTTCACTGCACTGTCCTTTGATGTCTGGGCATCTGTTCTAGAAAATCAGAACTTGACTTCATGCATGTTTTTAGGGGACTTAGCTATAGAAACATGATTCTGCGTGGGTCTGGAGGTACACTTACGAGTGGAGAAAATGCTTTGAATTGACACTATTTCTGTCCTAGGCATTCTTCATTTATTCATAGCAGCATATCATTACTTGACAAAATGTGTTAAAATACTTTCACATATTTCTCCTTATCCTTCTTTATAATACTGCATGGATTAATTGTTACCTTATTTTAGTTTTACATGTACAAACAACTTTACATCCCTGAGGCTTCAGAGGCTCAGTAATATTGGACTTGTTTGTGGTTATTATAAAACAGTGTTAGTGTAGGTAGCATTTTCACAAGGCAGAAACTCAGGTTTTTCTAGCGAGAGGAAGTCTAGCTCATGTTGGGCATGTTCGTCCTTAATACTGAAGCAGGATCCACTGAAGATCTTTCTTTCTCATTCCAGGAGAAGGTGGACAGGAAAGCTTCCAGCAATCCTGACCTTCATCTGAACAGGGCAACGGTAAGACCAGTAAGGCATAGTCATCTGCAGGTCAAATAAACACATCTGGGTCTTATCCTGTGAGGATAACTGAGTGTATAAGGGACAAAGTTTGAGTAGGAACTCAGAGGAAAGTCAGATTATTTCTAAGAAGATGTAGTTCAATTTGACTTTAGTTGCTGATGGAGTAATTAGAGGGAAAGTAGAAGGGGATGAGGGGAGTACATAGAGAAGGAAGAGATGGCTTAGAAGTCTTGTGGAGTATTAAGTGCAAATACCAAAACAGAGTAACCTAATATCTGCAACTTAACTATTTTGAAATTTGGAAATTACTTCCATCTTGTCACCGTCTTGGCCAGGAAGAAGGACATTTGTGATAGAAGAAGAAAAGACTTGGGAAAGGCATTAATCCATTTCTCTGGGTTCTTATCCGATTGTGGCATAGTGTATTGGGATATACTTACAATTGGGAGGTTTTGAATAACTTTTTTCACAGCTACATAAATATGAAGAGAATTATGGGGAAGCCCTGGAGGGCTTCGCTCGGTCGGGAGCCCTGGACCCTGCTTGGCCAGAGCCCCAGCACCGAGAGCAGCAGCTGTTGGAATTCCTCAGTAAATTAACCAGCCTCCTGGAGAGCAAGGTAAAGACTTGGCAGGGGAGAGGCCTACTCTTTACTTCTGTTGTGGGGCAATAAAATAAGAAAAGATTAAGCTTAGATGGTGGTGACTCAGAAACGGGTTCGACTCTCAAGGACAGTATGTTTTCCAGCCCGTTTACCTGTTTACCCTCCCTTCATAGGGAAAGATGAAGGCCAAAAAACTGCAGAGCATGCTAGGAAGCTTGCGTCCATCCCATCTTGGCCCTTGTGGTGATGGGCGCTATCAGTCAGCCTCGGGACAGAAGGTGACCCTGCAGCTCAAGCCCCTGAGCACGTTGCAGCCTGGTGTGAACAGTGGTGCTGTGGTCCTGGGAAAGGTGGTGTTTAGCCTGACTACAGAGGAGAAGGTCCCTTTGTGAGTTTCCTTCAGCTTCTTTCGTTTTCTTTTGCACAAATTGCTCTCCCTTCCTGGTCTTTCTCTAGCAGCTGAAGGCATTGTTAGCCGTCTCAGATGAGTGATTTCTTCCCTTCTGTGAGCAAGTATTATCCTAGGTGATACCTAACAGTCTCTCTATAACCTTTGTAGATTCAGTGATTGCCTATTTTTCTCCCCTGAGACCAGTGCTGTGTGGATTCCTACATTCATAGCTCAAATTTAACAGGGCACGTTTTGTTAAAAGATACAGAAACCTTAAAATTCTTCTGCCCTTGAGTGTATTTTTTTATTGATGCATTTTAGTTACACATAATAATATTTATCGTAGGGAATTTGTACCTATAATTGATATATCTTGATTCTTTTTTACCATTTCCCTCCCCTCCCTTCAGCCCCCTTTCCCCTCATTTACATAAGCTTTGATTCCATTTTTTTTTCTTATCCTTTCTCTCTTCCTCCAGTTCCCATTCTCATTTGAACATTTTGTCCCCATTTCCCAATAACTAGTACACATTTTGATCATTATTTCCACTTTCAATTTCTCTCACTGGAGAAACAGTGTGGTATTTAAATATGTGTGTCCCATTTGTGTCACTTAAGAGTATAGTCTCAAACGCATTCACGTAGCTAGAAAGTTTGTCCTTTATGACTGAGTAGTACTCCATTGTATAAGAAAACCACAAATCCTTAGCCATTCACCAGTTGGGCATTTGGGCTGTTTCCAAGATTTAGCTGTTACAAACTGTACCACTATAAGGATGGACATGTATATATTGTTGTGGTGTGATGCTTTTAATTCTTTTGGAAACATACAGAAGAGGGGAATGACTGGGTCAAATGGAACCTCTAGTCCTAGTTTTTGAGGAATCTCCACACTGACTTCCACAGTGGTTGCCACTAGTCTACACTCCCACCAACAGTGAAGAAGGGTTCCTTTTCTCCCACAGCCGCCCTCACTCCGCAATATTTTTATAGGTTGATTTCTTGATAACAGTCATTCTTTTGGGAATGAGACAAACTCTCAGTGTTGTTTTAATTTGCACCATAAGTTTAATTCCTTTGCATTTACTTAAGCATGTTCTATGAGCTAGTATGTGGTCTATTTTGGAGAATATTCCATGCACAGCTGAGAAGAATATGTATTCTGATGTTCAGTGGAACACTGTAGACTTCTCCTAAGTGTATTTGTTCAGAAGTTTTATTTAGTTTTGATATTTCTTCGTTGATTTTTTTTGGGGGGGGGTCTCTGGTTGATCTGTCTATTGTGACAGTGGTGTATTGATTATTCTCCTTAAAATTTATCAGTGTTTATTTGATTTTTAATGTCTGTAAATGTTTGTTTTCTATAGTTGGGTGCGCTGGTACTTGGTGCATATATGATTATTATTTCTTCCTCTTGTTCCCTTCACAAGGATATAATTGTCTCTCTTAGGCAGTGTTGGCTTGAAATCTTCTTTGTCTGCAAATAAAAATAGCAGCTACTCCTGCTTTTTTCTAGGTTCCTATCACATAGAGTATTGTTTTTTCATCCTTTGACTTTCAGTCTGTGAATTTCTTTTTGCGATAAAAGTGTTTCTTGTTGAATCTTGCGTCTTGATCTATGAATCGAGAGCATTTACTTTGATGGTTACAGCTGATATGTACTGACTTATCCTTGTTCAGTTTTTTTCTGTTCTTGGCTTTCTTACACCCTCCACTTTTAATTACTTGACTTGCCTGGTGGATTCATTCTGTTGGGGCACTTGGCATTGTAGTCCTCATTCTCTCTTTCTAGAATGTCCTTCAGAACATTTTGGGGGGCCAGTTTGATGATTATACATTTCCTCAGGTGTTCTTTGTCATGGAAGTATCATTTCTCCACTTATTTTGAAAGATAATGTTGGGGCGTATGTTAATCAGGGCTGGAGGTTGTTTTCTTTTAGGGCGTGAAATATTCACTCCAAGCTTTCTTTCATTTGAGGGTTTGTGTTGAGAAATCTACTATGATTTTGATGGACTTTCCTTTATGAGTGATTTCTTTCTTTTCTCTAACAGCTTTTAATATTCTATCTGTCATGGTTTATGTCTGTGTCTCCCAGGCCTCATGAGTTTGCATTGTGCATTTATGATTGGTTCATTGTCTAGTGCTTGGATTGATGGTGTCAGTGCTCCACCCACATAGGGGTGGAGCCAGGATGTGATGTAATGGCAGGAAGAAGGTGTCTTGCTCTTTGCTGGTTCCTGTTTTGTTGTTTGCCCCCGCTGTGAACTATGGACCAGCCATGCCCGCCTTCCTGGGAGCCAACTGAGTGTAGACTGAAACCTCCAAAAACTGTAAGAAATAAACCTTTCCTTTCCCAACTTGGGCTTCAGGTATTTTGTCTCAGCGACGAGTAAAAAGTAACTGAGACACTGTCTTTGTGTTTAGTTCTGGAATATTACCTATTATGTGCCTTGTTGTAGACTCTTCTTTGATCATGGCTAATTGGAGATCTGCATACCTCACATATCTGTAAGTTAAATTCTTTTTCTATGTTTGGGAAAATTTCTGCCCATTATTTCTTTGAATTGATTTTTTATGTCATTTGCACTATTTATTGCCTTTCATTGACTCCAGTCAATATTATGCTGTTCTTCTTTGCATTATCTAGCACCTATTGGACTGATTTTTTTTTTGTCTTCCCTTGCTATTTTTAGAAATCTTTTTTGATCACTAACTGCATTCTGCCTTCTGTATCTAATATTCTGTCCTCACATTGGCTCCTTCTGCTCTATATGGTTGCAGTGGAATTTTTAACCTCGTGGGTATCTGTTTGAATCTGTTTTATGGGTTCCCTTTCTTTCTGTGTTAGGTGGTCATGGTTTATGGTTTACATTCATGATTTAGCTCCTCTATTTGTTTTATCTAATTCTGCTCCCGAGTCACTAAGCATGTCTTTCTTTATGGTCACCATCTCTGCAGTTGTATGAGAAACTATTTCTGATTCGATTTTTTTCTAGAGCTTCATTCATCTGCTGTTACTTCCCTGTTACCACTTCAGAGAGTCTAGATGGGGGGCTTTCAGATTGTTCCCCCTCATTGCCCTCTGGATTTGCCTTTGGTGAACTGGGAGTCTGAGGTTACATCTTGTTTAAGTGTCTTCTCATTTTCCGTTTTTTTAAGTTTCATTTCTGGGTTAATGCGTGTAAGTTGCTTATGGTAGCTTTGCTGCTAGTATTTAGAACTCTCAGGAAGTGACTACTCCACAGTGTTTTTTAGCTGGTGTTCCGGTTGTGAGTCTGTTGCAGGATCCTACCTCTTCAGTTTATTGGGGATGAGAAGTTGCTGCCTATTTGGCCCAGCCATTGGATCTTTGGCATTGGCCTATCGTATTATTTGTGACTCTTGAACAATCTCAGTCTTGGCCTACTAACAACTGACCTGAACAATTATGTCACCTTGGCTAAAGTAGCAGTAGCATCACATATAACCTAGAAAATGACAAGCTGTGGTAGCTATTAATTTGCCTCCTTTAACTGTATGAACTGGATTTGTGGTTATATAACAGAAATCTAAATTGAAGCAGAAATTGTATACAGTAAATATGCCCTCCGTTTGGTAATTTTCTCTCCAAGAGAGAAAATATTAAAGGGTTTGGGGAAAAAAAAATAGAGCAATAGAAGAGAGAGAGATATAAAGCAAGACTGGAGGACAAAGAAAGGTTACAAGAAATTTGGAAAATTGGTAAAGAAGATAGGAGAAGAGAGAAGAAATGAAAACAAGAACAGAAGGGAATACCGGCTACAAAAAATGTTTACACTCATAGAAACAAGAATGTACAGTGGTATGGATTAAAAACTGGTGGTCAACTTAACACCAGCTGGATTACATCAGCATGGCGCTGAGCATAGATGTTCTACCTGGGAAAGTTGCCAGCATAAATAGAGAGGTGGAGAAGGAAGGTGTTGAAGCATTAATGTGTTGAGATGTTGAGGCATTGTGGGTTCCCTTACGTGTTGCTGTTTGAACTGTTAGGTTCTCTTGGAGAAGCTCTGGTTCTCACATCGAGCATTGCTTCCTGACTGTGGAAGGATAAGATGTGTGCCACTTGGTCTCCAGGATGAACTCGTCATGCTGGCTTCCTGGCATGTACTCAACTGTGCTTGTCTTCAGAGAAGCTCAGGGCCTCCATGTCACTGAGGATGGCTGTGGTGCTTTTCAGGACAGTCCTGGTCTTTGTTGTGAGTGTGGCTTCTTGGCTTCAGCATAGAACTCTCATCCCACCAACACAGCTCCTTCACCCTGCTGGCATAGACTTTCTGCTGACTTTTGGGCCTTCCCAGCATGGATCCATAAAAGAGACTGGTGTGAGTCCTTGTGGACTCCAGACCTCCAGTTGAACTTGTGGGAGGCATTGTCATGAGCTCTTGAGTTTTCATCTGGACTCATGTGGAACATTGCTGTGGGATTTAGGCCCTTGACTAAATATTCTATGTCGTTGGTGTTGTAGATAGTTTTCCTGCAATTTCTTGTGTTAACTCTGAGTGACCATCATAAAACAGTATATAAACTCCATGTCCTGATTCTAATTGTTCTCTGCACAACCCCTAACTACAACATACGGTCAAGAAGAAAACAAAACTAAATAAAACAAGAAATGACGAAAAAAAAGAAAAGAATAGAATATCCACTTCAGGACATGTCTCTGCTGTAGACAGAGTGGACAAATAGGGCCCAGATAATTCATTTTGACCAATCCCAGCAAGCCAGCTGTAGATTTTCAGCGGGGTAATAGATAGCTCCAGCAAGTCTACACCTTTTGTTCCACTGAAGTTCAGGCTGGTTTCTTGCTAAGAGAGTGGAGCCCCCTTTATTCAGCCTGCAACACTCCAGGTGCCTCCTGCCGCCTCAACTTGGCTTTTTGACCTCCTGCCAATTTGAACTGTTTCACTTCACCCTGACACTGAGAACCACTAGGTGGAGCCAGTCTGCAGCTGCTCCCAGTTCCAAGCACAACTGGTCCCTCCCCAAGATGGCTACCTGCAGTCGCCGTCTGCTGGGTTGTTTCTAAGCCTGAATAACATACTACCTATTGCATTGTACTGTGTTCACTGCTCTGTTCCACTGCTGTGTTTCTCTGGAGGCCTCTAGGGTAGCCAGTAGTCACCATGCATCTGAAGATTCAAGCTGGTCCTCCCACGCAGTGAATCTGGGCTCAGGGAGAAATCACTGCTTGCCACCTCCTCCTGTGTTGAAGTCTCCCTCTCTTCTCTCTCCCCATGGGCTTCAGTTCTTCTTCAATCTTGCTGTGTCCTGGAGACCCACTTCCCTCCTTTCCTCATTCTAGTACGTGGACATGGAATTTTGGTGAGGCTGTTACTCTGCTTTTTATCAGTCTGCCACCTTCCCGAGAGTCCTCATGTGACTTTCCTTGTTGGTTTTCTTGTGGAGTTTCAGTTGCCCAGGTTGTCCCTTTGAGTGTTAATGTGGATGGAGATGAAGGACAAATTGTTCACCCTGTTTGGACTTAGATAGACATAGGGAGTTCTGGAAGCTGAGCTTTGAGTTAGAATTTAAGGTCTTGGAATTTAAGGAATCGCAGAGATTTTCTCAGATGTCATTTAACAAATATTTGTGTAGCATCTAGTATATATATGAAAGGAGGGGGGAAAGTACCCAGGTGAAGAAGGGCGGCTACGGTCCGGCGGAGGAATGAATTAAGAGTATTCATTTAGTAACTTCTGAAGTTTGAACCACTATGATGTGGTGCATGCCATCACTCTTTGGTCTTCTATCCACTTCCTAATTCTTGGTTAATTGGTTTTTCCCTTCCTGTTTGTACTACAGTGGTTTATTTTCTGTATCCACCACCATTGTCTTTCTGGGCATCTTATCTACTGATCTACTGGCTTTTACTACATCCTCTATAACATTCTGAGGTAATCTTTCACATCCATTCTGCTCCATCCAGACTGAAACAATTAACATTACATTCCTGAGCATCCTCCAGTGCACTCGCTAGAGGTGTGCATAGTTGGTGAGTTAAAGAGCAGCACACAGTTTGAGAAAAGCTTCGTGAACTAGAGCAGAACTGTGACTGACAGGAATGAAAAAGGGTACAGTTTCACACTTGCTCTTAGCCAAAAGGCCGATAAGCAATAGGATACAGGTTTTAAGGAAATCTGAAAACATGCAAATATTTTACCACTCCTTGATTTCTCTCTCTCTGTCTTATCTGTCTGTCTGACTAATTGTTTCTGTCTTTTTTTAATTGCCTAACTTCTAAATGTTAAGTTCCCAGGATTTGGTTTTTTTTTTTTCTTTTCTCTCCATGATAGGATTACATACAGTTGCCAACCTTAGTCCTTTGTCGTTGTCCAGTATAGTATGTAGAAAGAGTCCAAGGCTTTCTTTAAATTTATCAGGCAGCGTTCTGCTTGTTTGTGTTGTTTTCTGTGAATTCGCATTTGTAGAGTGATGACGTGGTACTGGTCCAGACTGTCACATCCGTAGATCATCTTGCTTGATGTTGTCATGGAAACACAAGGGTTTGGCTGTGTTCAGGGTGCTAATGTGGATGTTACAGCCCAGGCCTTATTTTCTGGTTGTGGATCCCTGTAACAGTCTCTGAGCACCAATGGAAAATCTCTTTAATTCAGTATATTCAGAATCACTCACCTGTTCTTTCTGAACGTGCTTCTGCCTGGACTCCCTGTCAGTGAATGGTATTACCTCTGTACTCAGTCACAGAATTAAGAATTCTAGAAATCATTCTAGACATCTCCATTCTTCTGTGTTAAAGCAATCACCGGTCCATAGAATTGTGCTGTATTGTCCATACTTCTCTGTTACCTTAATTCATCTTCTGATCACTTCTTCAGACGCATCTCCTTGACTCTCATTTTCCTTCAGTGTCCCACATGCTGGCAGAAAAATCAGAGACAAATCTGACCATTGCCACTTGCTATTTAACATATTTTACGTGGACCCTAGCTTTTAGGACAGTTTGAACTCCCATACTTAGCTTAGCCTAGCATACAGAGTCTTTCATGACTTACGCCTTGCCTGTCTTTTCAGTTATCCTCTGTCACTTTGCCATACGCACCTTTTCTTTCAACCATGATACTGTTCTATAAGTTTCAGAACAGCTTTTTCGTGCTGTGCATGTTACATATAGTTAAGTCTGTCAGATGCTCCTGTAGCTTCTTCCTGATACAGCTAACATCTCAGCATAGTATTCTGGGAATTTTCAAACATGTAGGAAAATTGAAAGAATTGTATAATAATTATCATTGTATTTGATTAACTACCTGTATTTTACAATTATGTAGTACTACATTTCACTATACTTAATCATATACATGTCTATTTATCCTACTATTCATCCATTGATGTATATTACTTTTGGTCCATTTGACCAAATACATAATATTCAGTGAATGTTGGTGGAAATAAGCTGTATTGACAGTGATGAAGGGTTTGGTTGAAAGTATGATAGTTAAATTGAGAGAGCAGGAATTATATTTTCGCTGCTACATTTTGGACTAGGTCATCATTAATATTTGTTGGATGGCTTTGATGTGCATACGTCCTAAGTTCTTAGCAAAGTAAAGATTACTGACTTGTGAATGCTTTTTAAAGATAAGAAATGTCTAAGAGAAGTGGGGATTCAGACATACATGGATGGTATATTACTTGTAGGTTTTCTATGTAAGTAACTAAGAAAGCATTTGTTTCTTTTTTTGTCTGTATTTTAAAACCAGTTTCTGCCTGTCTTTCTTGTCCATTTACCTTTTTTTCTCTTCTCTCTCCATCTTAATCTGGCAGTACGTTTGGCTTGGTAGATTCAGATGGACTTTGCTATGCTGTGATGGTATACAATATAGTCCAGAGCTGGGGAGTTCTCATCGGGGACTCAGTTGCCATCCCTGAGCCTAACCTTCGGATTCACCAAATTCAGCACAAGGGAAAGGTGAGTAATGGCTAGGACTGAGTTGCAGTTCATAGGCTCCAAGCTGGTCTCTTTTTAGAAGTTACTGTAGGCATAAAAGTAATCCATGCACATATGAGTGTGTATGGGATACATGTATGTATGGCACACATTTATTTATGATACTTATACACAGAAATCCACACACACACACACACACACACACACACACACACACAGAGCCTGCCAAAAAATGTATACATCAGGAAAAGAAAAATTTTCATAAATATTTTAATACTAAATCTAGTGAGACATCATGAGATTAATACAGATTACCTTGACCTCTACAATTTCAGGAAGTGCTCAAAGTGGAGGCCATTAGCAAGGTAAACTGCTGAACTGTGTATACAATTTTTTGGAAGCGCTTGCTCTTGCTCTCTCTCTCTGTATATGTACACATTTTTTTGTTTTTATTTTTTCTTCAAGATTTTATTGGTACAATTTAGATGCACATAATGATCATATTCATCATATAGAATTTGTACATGTACATGATATAACTTGATTATTTTCTTTTTTTCCATTCCCCTACCCTCCTCCAACCCTGTTATTTGTTTTTATAAAAAGGAAAACTACTGGTAAGCAAAAGAAATTTAAAAATGGATTGAAAGCTAGGTGTGGTGGCATACATGTGTAACCCCATTATTCTGGAAGGCTAGGACTTAGACCTTGCCTGAAAATAAAAAATAAAAAAGGGTTGGGGATACAGCTCAGCATGAAAACCCAGGGTTCAATTCCTAGTACCACCACCAAAAAAATAAAAATAAAAAAGGACTGAAGTATGCCACTCGTTACTGTTTTCAGTGCATACCTCTAATCTTTTTCCTTTTTAGAAATCCATTCATCCATAGTTATAACTTACGTGTAGGATAGTATATGCATGTTGGAACATTTTTGATGTTTTTACACAGTTGACTGCATCGTTTTGCATTGACACATAGTAGTGTTGATGATAACGACAGTTAACATTAACTGCATACCTAATTGGGTGCTAGACACTATGAAGACTTTTGCTGCTTAAATTGCCTGATTTAATCTTCATGGAAACCTTATGGGAGTAGGTCTTTAACCACATTTTTACCGAGGTCAGTGGCAGCTAGTGTGTTACACTGACTAAATCTTGTTTTACACCTGTTGTTGTATGGCCTGAGAGCTAGGAATAGTTACTATATTTTTAAATGAAAAACAGAAATATATTTTGTTATAGTAAAATTTTAATGCCATGAAGCTTTAAATTAATGGAACACAGCCATTGTTGCTTGTTTACTGTTCTATCTGCTTTTTCATTATAGTGTCAGGTGAATTGTTGCATAGCAGAGAATTGCCTGGCCTGCAAAGCCTAAAATATTTACTGTAGCGCCCTTTAACAGAGTTTAGTGACTTCAGTATATTCTGTAGTATTTCTAAGTTGTCCCTGTTAAGAAAGTACTGTAGTGAACATTTTTGGTGCTGCTAGGGATTGAGCCCAGGTCCTCGTGCATACCAGCCAAGTGAGCTGGTATCCTGAGCTATGCCCCAGCCCTTGCAAGTGAACATTTTTATATCTTTGCCCATGTCTTTATTTCCTTTATGAATTTCGAATGTAGGATCTTGGGTTCAGAGGATATGCAGAAATCTAAGGCTTTCACCACATATTGCCGCACGAGGCTCTGAAAAGTTTTCCAGTAAGTTGTTACCAGCAGCGAATGCGTGGTTTTCCTGTGGTTCTTGACACTGAGGAGAAACCTCTCAAAATTGCTTGCTGATTGTATGTGAAAACTATAGTCCCAGTACTAGTTTAATTTGGTTTATTGATTAGTTGTGAGGCTGAGCACTTTATTATATGTTTATTGACCACATTTCATGTATAAATTGCCGGGTTGTTTTACTTGCCATATTCCTGTTATGACTTTTTAAAAAATTGATTTATGAGAACTTTTAAACTTATTTTACTTGGGCTTTGAAGAGCTGGATTCACATTGCTAGTGGAAGAAGAGACATATAAATGTATTATACATATATAATATATAATGCATATGTACATTTTTAATTTTTTGAGGCAGGGTGCTTGCCTTGAATTTTCTGTGCAGTTAAGATTGGCCTTGTGCTTATGATTCTTATACCTTAACCTCATACCACCACACCAAGGCTGAAAAATAGTTCTTGGTTGAAGATTTTTAGTAACTACTTAAAAAACAAATTTGAACTGGGAAGTGAGCTAATATCTCACTGGCATTTTTCTGTTATGTATTTTATTTCTTCTTGATATAAAAGGAAAATTAATTTGTGTTTAGCAGATTAATTTAGGACCTCACAAAGTCCTGGACTGACAGTTTCTCAGGAATTTCTCTGGCTATGGTTGGTTGCTGTGTATCTGGCTAATTGTCAAGAAACATTGTGGGCAACAGCAGATTCTGTGAGAGCTGAAGGCATTTTTGTCAGGCAGTCTGAGGAATTTGCCTTTGTTAAATCAGAGAACTGTCCTGTTCTTGTGTTTTCATTATTAGTGCCCTGCCTGTCTTGTATTTTCTTTCCCAATGCCGGAAACAGCTCAGATTTATCTAACATGTGAGAAGTGTGTATAGGGGAAGATGGGGAGAATACTGCAGGTAGTGTATCCTGCATTGGAGATTTTTCCACCTTGGTGTCTGCAATGAACCCCTTTCTGCTTTCTTTCAGGACTATTCCTTTTCCAGTGTTCGGGTGGAGACGCCACTCCTGCTTGTGGTGAATGGAAAGCCTCAGGGCTCCGGTAGCCAGGCTGCTGCCATGGTGGCCTCACGACCACAGTGTGAATGATCTTTCCTGACTTGCATGCTGTGGAAGGAGCAGGGAGTGGTGTGAAGATAAGCTCAAGGCACTTGGCCACTGGATCAGCCTCATCCAGTGACTCCACTGGGATTGGCGAAGAGTATTTTACATGGAGACTTTCCCATCCCCTGTCCTGGAGGATCCCTGTCCCTCTAACTCTTCCCTGTCATGTTCCATATCCTTCAGGGCCGCTCACTTCCCTGGTGCATCTCTCCTGCCTCGTTGACTGCTGTCAGTGTTACACAGAGTGTAGCATTGGTGGAAGTGTTGGGATCTTGTCATGGGAAAAAATTCGCAGGATTCCTGCTCTTGTCTTCTTCCTGAGTCTAGTATGTATATATCAGTTCAGTATTTATTGCTAAAGGAAGGGGGCTTAACTTTTCAATGGCTTGATTTTTGAGCAATTTTTATTTTTATTTTAAAAGTTTAAATTCTTTCCCTTCTTTGGGGTTGGAGCAGAATTAAATTTTCTTGGGGGAAAAAAAATACCCTATAGTTTGGTGTGCTTTATTTTCTCCAGGCTTCGATTCTTGTTTTTAGGTTCTATTGGAGTATGCTTTCCCATTTGGTCTTTATGCAAAATAGTTTTTTTTCCCCTGGAAATCTCAGAAAAAGAATGATAACTCCAGACATTTGCTAAAGACCAGCTTCTTTCCAGTTTCCCATTCTGTCGTCTCTAGTTGTGTTCTGCCCCATAGTCTGTGACGACAGACTGGTGCTACTCTAATAGTGCTCCTGTGCCTGAAAGACCAGAGAGAGCTATGCATTGTTTCTTTAGATTCTAGTGATGTATTTTGTAAAAGTTTTTCAGTATTGTGGAAATGAAGAAAGATTAACAAGGCTTTGAATGGGTGTACCAGTGTTAATGTATATGGATATGTTTGAAACACTTCTAAGCACTTGCTATTTGGGGGATGCAACTTAGGTCTTCGTCTGTGGTTTGGTCCTATTCAGCTCTTGTTCACTGACTTGAGTACTACTGGTAAAAATTTATAACAACTGCAAAAGGCAGAAAATTCTGTATCTTTAACATCATATGTCACAGGTAAGTTAAAGCCAGTATAAGTAACCAATATGATGTAATAGAAACACACATTTTGGACTACACTGAAGAATTGTGATAATCAGAGAGTGTTTAATACTGTGTCCATCCACTGTACGCATCTTATATCCAGTTTCCAGTGTTGATTTTGAGGAATATAGTTATAGAAAAGTGATCAGGAATTTGTGTTCATATAAAATCTTGAGCAGTGGCCTATAGCAACTGCAGAATAATGGTGAGTGTTAGAGACAGAGATAAAAACCAGTAACTGTTCCCTTTTTACTGAAGTCCTGAAATGTTTTGACATATTCTACGTAGGGAAAAAAAATAAATAGTAGTTGGTAGCTAGAAAAAAGCAGTATGTATAGAAGATACAAAGTACAGTTTAAAAATAGAGTACCCGTGAAGTGTCCATTTGTCTTAAAAACTGGAACATCACTGATACCCTGGAAGCCCTCTGTGTACCTCTCCGTAATCTAATCACTGCTGTGAATGGATGATTCTGCTCACCACCCTCTTTAATGATTAATGCTGTCTTTTAGGCATTTTAAGACAGCATTTCAGGTGTTTCAGTTCCATGGATTATTCATGATAACAAGTCTACCATACTGCTGGACATAGTATTTCAATTCAGTAAAGATGTTATTGCTGAAGCTCCCCAAAACTGAACTATGCGTGTTAGGAGAGGTAAATTGTTTTTTCAAGATTTCTAGATAGGTAACTGAGAATACTGTATCTGGAAACAGTTTCTTTAATTTTACATTCAGTAGAGAATGATGCGTGTTGGGTTAATAATTAATCTAAGTAGGCAGAAAACATTTCTAGATCAAAATACGAATAGAGTGCTCTTCAGAATCAGCCTTCGATATTTATAAGTCAAACACTTTCTGTTATTTTCTCCTAAGGCCTTACTTGATTTTGAATATCTTATCAGTATACTTAGAATTTCTGAAAGGAACAAAGGAGAATTTGAGTTGCAATGCTTTGGGCTCCATATCATGCCTATTTGCATAATTAGTCCTTTTCTAGGATTAAAGTAGGTCCCCATTTCTCTGTATAAATCCCTGGAAAGTAACATTCTATATTTGAAATTTATGTGCTAGTATGGAATAAACTGAGTAATAAGAGAAAGTTCTTATAAAGATGTCACCACATTTTGGCTAGGAAATAGATGATTTCCGTGGGCTACCTGTGAAATAATGAGAAGAAAGTCTTGATTAGTCTCCACTGCTACATTGGTTCTTCCAGGAAATCCTAAAGGTAATCCTCTTTGGTCTGGAAAATAATTTAAGGAATCTGATACTAACTCCATCAATTTATTGATTCTAAAAGAACCATTCCTTTGTGTCAAATTTTAACATGTCAGATTACAATTCAGCAGTTTATGGCAGGCATGCATGGTGATGCATACCTGTGATCCCAGCACTCAGGTAGCTGAGATGAAAGGATCTCTGCAAGTTCAAGACCAGCCTGGACTACTTAGTAAATTCAAGGCCAGCTTGTCTCAAAACAAAACAACACCATAATAAAAAACCATGAAATTCTTGTCAATTTAAATTATAAAATTGTTCAAGTTTTTTTATCTTTATTAATAAATGTTTACATAATGGATACATTCATCGTGAGAAGCTAGTATATGTACATAACATCTTAATTCTTTTTACTTTCCCTCTCACTACTCTCCCTACCTTCTGTCTTGGCCATTTTCCCACTCGGGAAAGCTCTGTCTCCTTTTTTAATCGTAAAAGTAATGTTTTTTTCAGTGGCCTTTTAGATTTGGTGAGATACAACAGTGCTGTTTTGTGGTAGTTCTGTATTAAGTTCCTCTCCTAATTTTTATATATAATGAGCGTTTTCCCACAACAGTTAATACAGATCTACCACATTATTTTAAAATAGCCACATAAATTTCCAGTTAATGGGCATAGCATCTTTTGTTTAATCATTCTTCATTTGTTGGGTTTTTTAAAATTATGAATAATGTATTGAACATTTGTAATTTTTAGTATGCTTTGGAAGCATATCTTTTGAGTAAGTTTCATAAAGTGAAATTAATCTTTAGCCATTGCTAATTTGCATTTCAAAAGTATATATTGATTTATACTTCTCAAATATTTTAATAAATGCCTATTTCTTCATGAGTTGTGTATAGTTTATGTCTGGTAGACAATATGATTATTTTAAATTTGCATTTTTATATTTGTGACTTTGAGAACCTTCTTAGTAAAAACATTTACCTACTTATAAAATTGATGTGAAATGTAAAAGAGGGTATCTAAGACTGAGAAAACTTTAAAAATTTAGGGAGATAATATTTAGGAAATGATATACTTTGTACATTCCCTGTGGTATAATTATATCGAGTTATAATTTCTTCATTATATGATCTGAACTCTTAAGGACAGACATGAATTCATATTTACCTTGTGGGTGTAAGACATTGTTCAATGCAATAACAAACTGTTGGTTAGATAGATTGTTGGTTTGGAAAAAAATGTATAAACTAATATAGACAATGTTGACACCTTGTTTGCAGAATAGTAATGATTTGGGCATATTTACACTTTGATACAAAATAGTAATGATTTTAAAAGTATTCCTTTGGCTTGATTCTAAAGAATTGGGTTCCTGCTCTTGTTAGGTCAGTGAACTGAAATAATAGACTGCTGTGGGAACAAGAAATATTTTTTAAAAGGTCACTCATTCCATGTAGACTTACCGGGCATTCTTGGTACATGGTAATCTAGGACCTAAGGCTTCAAAGATGAGAAACTTAAAAAGCTCATAGCCTATAGGCAGTAGACAAACATCATGTCATAAGTATGCTGAGAGTGCAAGGACGCTCATTGTGAGTGCAAGGACATTGAAGTCTATCTTGGGTAGCCCATAACAGACATGCTCAAGAAAATATTTGAACTAAATTTTGAAGGGTAATTAGCACTGCAGAAGGAATTACTTGTGCAAAAGCAGTGGGATAAGAAAAAGCATAGACATTTCCAGATGCTAAGAATGTGGTCAGTCATCTTTGTGTTAGAGTTGCCAGAAGAGGCAGAAATGAAGTGATAGAGATGTGAAAACCAGAACATGGAGGCTGTAGCCCATGTGAAGGAGTGTCTTCCTGGAATTGCAGAGTTGTCGAGGGTTTTAACGAGAAATGACGAGATTTGTGTTTGAGAAGGAGGATGGAGCTGTTGGTAGGACAGCTCTACATCTGCAGAAGCAGATCTGAAAAGATCAGATTAGCTCAGTGGGAAAGAGTATAAACCCTAGAAACGATGCCTGAGTTCAGATTCCAGTGTCACACAGCTGTAATTCCAAATCAAATGCTTTCTTTCTGTTTGTCCTCTAGGTGCTGGGCATGGGCTCCTCAATCCTCACAGGAGTCCCACACGATCAGTAGTGACATCCTTTCGTTACAGCTACATACACTAAATCTTTAAAGAGCTAAGTGAGAAAATTCTCCCCTTAGCCAAACTCTAGCCAGGTTTCTCTGCGCTCTTTGCAACGTTGGTCTATAAACCCTGGAACAAAAGACTGGGATCCTAACACTCAGAGCCACCTCCCGAGGATAACTCTAGTTTGTCTCTTTTTTTATTTTAAAAATGAATAAAGAATGAAAGCAATGATGCAGAATTTCAAAACAAAATAATAGATTAACACTGGTTAATGTATAGTTATTATCTTCAAAGTAGTTCCGATTACAAGATAAGGCATAAAAATGATCAAATGATTAAACAAAGCACGAACTTCTTTTTGATAAAATAACAATTAGTATAGGTATCTATCTTGTACGTGTGTGTGTGTGTATGTGTATATATATATGAGAATGTATACACAAACTTTTCCCTTTTCTCCATTTCTCTATCGCAGTTCTTTTGAGCACTTTCTTTCACTTTCACAGCATTGTATATTTTGGATTCTATTTACTCTCAGGTTTTTACACTAGGCAAACAATATAATTACACACGTGAGTGATTTATTTCATTTATGAGTATGGTCTCAAGTTGCATCCATTTACCTTTAAAAGCCTCAAGTTTATCTCATATAGCTGAGTAATACTGCACTGTATAAAAAATGCCACATTTTTTATCCATCCCACAGTTGATGGGGATTATAAGTATTATAGATTGTGCTGCTGTAAACTTGGGTGCACATATATCACTGTGGTATGATACATGGTTTTCAATTCCTCTGGGAAAATACCCAGAAGGGGAACAGCTGGATTGAATGGGACCTCCAATCTTCGTATTGTGAGGAATCTTCATAGTGATTTCCACAGTGATTATACCAGTCTACACTTTGGGTAGATAGAGTCATGAACAAAACACAGATTGCATGGGCAGTATTTGAATCAATTGGGATCTCATCTAACTAAAAAGTTTTTGCACATCAAAAGAAATTACCAATAAAGTAAAAAAAAAAACCCACAGAATGAGTAACATTTTAGCCAACTGTCCCTCAGACAAAGGACTTTATCGAGAACATATAAAGAGTTGAAAAAATATCAAGCTTCACAAATTCAAAGACCCAATCCTAAAATGCACATATGAGATAAACACTTCTCAGATGAGGAAATAGCCATGACAAATAAATACATGAACCCTAGTCTCTTTAAAGTATCAGCCTGAGAAAACAGGCTGCCAAAAGTATTTGCTGTTTATTGCAGCCAACACCTGAAGATAGGTCTGTCTCTATCTCCATGGGGGATAGGAGTCTAATTTTGCTAAGTGCCAGTTAACCCACATGACTTGTGCAACAATCCTCCTGCATTTTGATTCTTTTCATTTCTCTGACTCGGTGCCCGCCATTCTCCTCCTCCTCCCTCTAGAACACCTAGTCACCTCTGAACAAAGAGAAATTCAGTTCATTTCATGCTGGACTCTCTCTCCTACTGCTACAGCGTATTATTGCTGAAATTTGTCCTTGCTTCTTTAGTGTCCTCTTTTATCTTTAACTTAGACAACTACAGGGGCTGGAGGTATTGCTAGGTGAGATAGGGCTTAACCTTGTATGTGTGAGGCCCTGAGTCTCAAAAAGCAAGAAACAATGGTCTGAAGCAGACTAATAGTTTAGATTTTCTAATTCTGATGATTACTAGTGTAATACTACTATTGTGATTATTATTAAATAATGAAAAACGAATTGGGGAAAGGAAGAGTTCAGCTGTAGGGAGGGCAGTCATGGAATTTCTTGTTCAGTACAAAAGACCAGGGAAGTTGTGTTCTGGCTTGACAGTGATTCCGCACTGGCAGCAAGGCTGCTGTGTTGCCAGCCCCCTAGCTAACTGTGTATGTATATCATGTGTCATCTCTGTCACAGTGTGCTGGGGTTCTCTGTATGGCTAATCAAGAAATACCACTTTACCTTAACTGTCAGGTGTGTATGCACTTGGGACAGGAACCAAAGCTTGGCGGTGTGGGATGCCTCAGTCTCCCTTCCTGCCCCATTCCCTTTGCTGTCTCCTCTTCAGAGAGTTCATACTAGAACTTGGCCAATGCAAGAGTTTAGTCACTGTCCTTTGGTACTGTGGGATTCATTACTTTTAATTGGCAGTTGCTGCAATCATTTCACTCCCTCAATTGTGACTTCTTTTGCTAATTGGCTCTCAGGAGCCTCCAACTCCTGCATCAAGTAAGACAGAGCTGCTACCAACAGCCCCAAATGTGTTTGGAGATCCCAGGTGTACCACTCTCCAAGTTTCTAATCTGTTAAAACAACTTTGCTTGGATTAGCTTTAGGAGAATACAGCTCCTTGGGGCATTGTTTTCACAGAAGCAGCAGCTTAAACTATGCCAAGCTTTCTAGACTTTGCCAACTACTGTATTCTGCCTACAGCTTTTTATTCCTGATAGCAGAAAAGAAGCTATCTGGTTGAGGTGTCAGTAGTGGGTCTGGTGGAGGATGCGAGAAATGAGCAGTCAAAGAATCTTGTCAATTGATGAATGTGGGCCTTGACATTTTGCCTCACATACTACTTTTCTAAAGCAAAAGGTCTCGCAGAGAACTTGTCTATTTCTGTTTATCATTGGAAAAATAAACAATTGTTCAACCCAAGCCCATAATTGGGTCACATTTAAACATACTATTATTTTGGTACTGGAAATTGAACTCATGACCTCGTGCTTGCCAGACAGGCATTGTGCCATATCCTCAACCCTTAAAAATTATTTTTAAAAAAGACTTTTAGTACTATTTTAGATTCACAGCAAAACTGAATGAAAAGTGCAGAATTCCTGTCTACCCCCTCTGCTTTATATCAGGCTTCCCCATTACCAATATCCCATAACCCAATGGTTCATTCCTTGTACTTTGTGAGGGCCTCTATTAACATATCATTATTATCCAAAGTTTTAATGCATACCAGACCTCAATCTTGATGTTGTACATTCTATAGATTTTGACCCATGTATTTTTTTTTTCCAAATCTGGGGGCAACAATGGTACATACAAGGTGCATTGTCATCCCCAAATCATTCACCCAGAGCAGAAGACATCTGTATTCAATTGTCCAAACAATACCAGCACAAATCTTTCTCTTCAGTGAACTCAGAAAAATCAGTAGTATAGCTAGCTTAACTATTTTTATATACATATATGTATGTCTTTTCTTTCAGCTTCTCACACTATTGAAATAATACAGTGTTCATACATGAGTTTGACCAATGTATTCAGACAGGTGTTTGCTATTACAGTTTCACTACTGTAAAAATCTTTTGTGTAGCACCTCTTAACACCCAGAAAATACTGGGTTTTTTCCCCCACTATTTTCATAGTTTTTACTTGCCTAGCGTATCATAAAGTTGCAGCCAAGAAGTATATAGCCTTTTCATGTTGATTTCTTCGCTATATTTCCAAGAAACATCTAAAAATAATTTCTAGTTAGATTTTAAAGCTACAGTAAAGGGTAAACATATAGTGTATCCAAACACACCATGTAATTTCCTTTAGTTAGTTAATTTTAGTTTTACTTTTTCGAGACAGGGCCTCACTATATAGTTTAGGCAAGCCTTGAATTCACTATGTAACCCAGGCTGGCCTCAAACTTATGGCAATCCTGCCTCAGCCTCCTAAATGCTGGATTACAGGGGAGTGCCACCATGCCTGGCTCACTTCTGTTTTTTTTGACAAGGGGATATTA